AATATACTTAAATATAATAAAATAATAAAAATAATAATAAGAAATAAAATAAATTACAGACGTTAAAGAAATTACAGACGTTAAAGAAATTACAGGTGAAACAGAATAAACAGGGTAAACAGACTGTAAATACAAAGGGAACAAACGTAACAAAATAAACAGAAATTACTGCTGATCACTATGTGGCACAGTAGTGACATCATTTAACGTGAGATCATTATTGATTGACATATCCCACGTGACATTTGGAGTTGCAATTTCTTCCGTTAACATTGCATAGTTTTAATATATAAAAATATAACCTTAAGGATTGGTTAATAGAATTCATCTTATTAGTTAAATAGCTGATTTTTAAATTATATCTTATTTTTAACTTAAAGTCTTTTGATTCTCTTTTTCTTAGATTTTTTTCTATAAGAAATCAAAAACTGGTTTATCATTAACATTTTTAATTATTATTGTAATTTGTCTTATTACAATAATATTTATTACTACAATTAGTATTATAAGGATCATCATAAGTTTGATAAAATTAGTATTTATCTGTATAAATATTTTATTTTTAATTAAAAAAAATAACATTTTTTTTTTGAAAATAAAGTTAATACTTACTGTATACCAATTATTATAACTAATAAATTTGTCTTTTAAGTAAATCACTTGAAAATTTTCAAATTTTTCAAAATGGTTTTCAATTTCTATATTTAGTTGAACAAATACTTTAATTTTTAATTAAATAGTTTTTAATAAGTCTTTATCATTTAATCTTACAATTTTAATAATTTTTTTAATGCTGTATTTTTCTGTTAATCATTTAGTAAAGTTGTGAATATAATATATTGTATTTAATTTAATTAGTATTATAAAAAAATTTTTTTTTTATATAGTAAAAAAAAGAATTTTATTTTTTTTAAAAAAAATTAATTTTTTTAATTAAATAAAACAATATTTTTAGATTATGTTTATATCAGTTTGATCTTTTTTATTGAGTTTAGTATTATAGATTTGATCTTTTTTTTTATTTGATCTTTTTTTTAAGTTTAATATTATAAATTTTTTTTTTAAGTTAAAGAAAATATTTTTATATAATTAGTTTAGTAAAAAAATTAATTTAATAATAATAGTATTTTATTTATTTTTATTTATTTATTTTACTTATTTAGATATTTGTTTACTTATTTTAATATGAAAAGTTAAGGTAAAAATTTATTTTATATAATCAATTTAATAAAAAATTTAAAAAAAATTGATAAATTTAATGTTGAAACTGGCAGAAACTAACAGACCTATAACATATATGCCATACCATATCTGCCAAATAGGACACACTTATTATTTATTATATTTCTATTATTTATATTATTATTATCATTTATTACATATTTAACATAATTAGCATATCTGTTAGCTCTGTTATTATTGTCAGTAGTATTATAAATACTATAGATTTTCTTTAATTGTAATTTTCCTATATAAAGGGCATGAAAATGCCTTGGAAAAAGAACAGATTCTCAATATTGTATTCAATATACATTTAATAACAATTGCAAACATAAAACTTATAATTTTATTCCTGTTAACTAAATAAACTCTTTAATAAACAGCGTGTCAAGTTGATTGGATTTAAGTCATAGCTATTGCCTCCCTGATTTCAAATCATAGTTAACTTATTCAATGGAAAGAGTAACGTTAACAATGTTAATGAGTTTGTTTTATATTTGAGTTAAGAAGATTTTTTTAATAGTATTTTAAATTAAATAAAGAATTTATCATATTTAATATTAAATTTAAATTAAATAAATGTTTGATTAAATTTTTTGAATTTTTTTTTAATAATAACAAGATTTTTTATTTACTTATTACTTATTTAGATGTTTATTTCTTATTTTGAATAAAATTTTTTAAGATTAATTATGAAATATTTGTAGATGATATTTATATAAAAAATATTTAATATTTGTTTAATTTGTTTAATAATTTATTTTTTATGTATTATTTTATGATCAGTATATAATAATTTTTTTAATTTCAAAAAAATCCAAATTAAAATTAATAAAAAATAAATAAAAATTATAAATAAAAAAATAAATAAATAGATTACCGATTTATTAGGAGTGAGAGTAGGTGAGATATACTATCTTAAATTTAGAATTTAGATTCATTATTTCTAATTTTAAATCTATAATTTAAAATTTAGAATTTAAATTTGCAAATAAAGTTTTCTAACAAATCATAACTAAAAAAATATATATTTAGTATTATCATTTAGCTAAGACCTTATGGATTATATTATTCTAAAAATATAAAATAAATGCTATATCACTAAATTTAATAACATAACAAATTACCAAATAAGAAAATTTTAGAAGTTATTTTTTACACTACAATAAATAATATAATCATTAAGAAAATGTTTTTTTTATAATTGTAAAAAATTATAATTTTATTTTAAAGTTTTATATAAATATATTTATAATATTTATAAAAATAAAAGAGATATAAATATTATTATTATATAGTGACTACCAAAAAAAATTCAAGTGTGATTAGTTACCTTCAAAAGACTATAATTTATTGATTACAAATGTTAGAACTATAATTTTATACTTGTTTAAAGTTCAAACTTTAAAGAATATTCTGACAAATTTTTTTTAATGCAAAAGTTTTACATGATTTTTATTAAATTTATAAAATACAAAATACATATAAGCAAATAAAAAATATATAATTAATTTAGAAATCTTATATTATACAAAAGATGATATAAATAATGATAATTAAAAAGATGATATTAATCTCTAGAAAATTATATATGTCTTATACGTCTTCTATGTTATCTATAGCATATATTTCTTTTATATGATATATTTTACTTATTTATTTTATTTCTTTTATGCTATATATTTATTATATTATATTTATTTCATATATTATATTTATTTTTTTTATTTCTTCAATAACTTTATGTATTTTACTTTATATAATAAAAGACATTTTCTTTTAACTTAGCAATATATCTGATTCATAGATTTATAAAATAGTTTAGTTTAATTTTTTTAACATACTTATATAGTACAGAGCGCTAACTGAAGCAGTATTCTATTGTTATTATTATTAAATAAACTGTTAATTGATTAATACTTTTCTAAAACTAATCATAAAATAAACCTTCTGCTTACTATTTAAAAATATTACTTTACTTATCACAATAAAATGTTTTGATTGTTTAATAATTTATTTGACTAATTTCTTATTGCTTAGTAAATTTGATGTGATTAAATAATATTTAAGTTGATTATATTGATTTTCTTCCATTTTTAAAACTTGAGCTATCAATCACAATATTGACACTTTCACTTTCACTCTATTATTTTGTTGATGATAGGATAAAATTATTGGAGCATGACGAACAATTGTGCATAAGCATTTTCTTGTTGAAAAAATTAAGGTTTAGTCTACCATAAATCATTAATTAAATAATTAGGATTCATATCAGGATAAATTTTACTACGTTTGAATCTAATAATACAGTCATAAAGAATAATTTTATAAGATAAATTACGTTTGTATGCCTTGCAGTACGTGTAAATGTGATATTTTTTAATATCATAAAAGTCAGTGCATTTAGAGTCTCCTTTGGTAATTAGTTAATTTGCAATTACTTACTTGACTTTAATATTTTCCTTGTAAATTTCCGATCATTTTATCTCTTGGGTATTAATATTCAACAGTAATCAATAAGTGATTTTCAAATTGATTCATCAATTCTTACTCAAAGTAAGATTCACTATCATTTTTCTCTACATTATTTTTAGTGAAGTGATATGCCATTAGATTTTCTTTTCTTCTGATTCATCAAAGTTTTCATTAGTTTGTACAGAAATCATGTAAGTTTTCACAATTTCGTTAGAATCTTCATTATTATCAGAATCAATTCTGAATAAAGTGTCAGTATTTGTATTATTTTTTCCTGAACAGTATTGAACTTGAAATATATATTACTAAAGATTTAACAACCATCCAGCTTTTTTAGTTCGATTCTTCATAGTTGAAGTTTGTAATCATTTCAATGCTATATAATCAGTTACCAAGATAAAGGGTTTTAAAGAAGTATAGTGATGAAAGTATTCAACTGCTTAGTTGATCACTAGACATTCTAATTCTTGAGCACTATAATTTTGTTCATGTATATTAAGGGTTCTACTTGTATAAGCAATTACTTTCTCTTTTCCTTAGTCATCCTTTTATGCGAGCACAGCTTCTAATCCAATTCCTGAGACGTCAGTGAAAAGATAAAACATTTTATCAAAATCTGGATATCTTAGTATTGAAGCTTGCATTAGTTTTCCTTTTAAGGTTTCAAATACATTTTGACGTTCATTGGTCCAATCGTATTCAACTTCTTTCTTAGTTGAATTATTTAAATGTTTGACGATGTTAGTGATAATCTGTTTGCGTTACTAGATGACTGTGCTAATTAATGTCACCAATGATCACTAGGAAAATTGTGATCATCATTTTCACTAATTTCACTGCTATCACGGTTATCGTTATGATATTTATTTTCTTTATTTTATTTATTATCATGTTTATAATTATTTTATTTAATATATTTATTTTCATAGTTATATTTACTTTCACTATTATATTTATTATCTCTATCTTATAATT